CTGGAGGCATCACACTACCTGACTTCAAACTATACTACAAGGCTACAGTAACCAAAACAGCATGGTACTGGTACCAAAACAGAGATATATAGACCAGTAGAACAGAACAGAGGTCTCAGAAATAACACCCCACATTTACAACCATCTCATCTTTGACAAACCTGACAAAAACAAGCAATGAGGAAAGGATTCCCTATTTAATAAATGGTGCTGGGAAAACTGGCTAACCATATGCAGAAAGCTAAAACTGGATCCCTTCCTTACACCTTATACAAAAATTAACTCAAGATGGATTAAAGACTTACATGTTAAACCTAAAACCATAAAAACCCTAGAAGAAAACCTAGGCAATACCATTCAGGACATAGGGATAGCCAAAGTCTTCACGATTAAGACACCAAAAGCAATGGCAACAAAAGCCAAAATTGACAAATGGGATCTAATTAAACGAAAGAGCTTCTGCACAGACAAAAAAACAAACAAACAAACAAGCAAAAAAAAACTATCATCAGAGTGAATAGGCAACCTACAGTATGGGAGAAAATGTTTGCAATTTATCCATCTGACAAAGGTCGAATATCCAGAATCTACAAGGGACATAAACAAATTTAGAAGAAAAAAACAAATAACCCCATCAAAAAATGGGCAAAGGATATGAACAGGCACTTCTCAAAAGAAGACATTTATGCAGCCAAGAAACATATGAAAAAATGCTCATCATCACTGGTCATTAGAGAAATACAAATCAAAAGCAAAATGAGATACCATCTCACACCAGTTAGAATGGCAATCATTAAAAAGTGAGGAAACAACAGATGCTGGAGAAGATGTGGAGAAACTGGAATGCTTTTACACTGCTGGTACCATTGTGGAAGACAGTGTGGTGATTCCTCAAGAATCTAGAACCAGAAATACCATTAGACTCAGCAATCCCATTACTGGGTATATACCCAAAGGATTATAAATCATTCTACAATAAAGATACATGCACACATATGTTTATTGCAGCACTGTTCACAATAGCAAAGTCTTGGAATCAACCCAAATGCCCATCAATGATAGACTGGATAAAGAAAATGTGGCACATATACACCATGGAATACTATGCAGACATAAAAAAGGATGCGTTCATATCCCTTGCAGGGACATACATGAAACTGGAAACCATCATTCTCAGCAAACTAACACAAAAACAGAAAACCAAACACCACATGTTCTCCCTCATAAATGGGAGTTGAGCAATAAGAACACATGGACATAGGGAGGGGAACATCACACACTGGGGCCTGTCGGGGGGTGGGGGACTCAGGGAGGAATAGCATTAGGAGAAATACTGAATGTAAATGAGAGGTTGACGGGTGTAGCAAACCAACATGGCACATGTATACGTATGTAATAAACCTGCACGTTGTGCACATGTACCTCAGAACTTAGAGTTATAATTTAAGGTATAATTAAAAAAAAAAAAAAGTTGGGAAATACTTGGCTGAAACTTAGGAATCAGATTAGAGCTGTGGAAGTTAATTTGGAGTCATCTCATCCAGAGCCAAAAAAAAAAAGGACCAGACTATTAAACAGAACTAACCTCACATGCCTGCTCAGGGCCTAGCACTGTGATAGAAACTACATTTTGCATCCACTCACTTTCATCCTTATAACAACTTAAGAAGTAGAGTTACTAGCCTTGTTTCTACATCGAGGAAACCAAACCTCAGAACAATTAAGTAACTAGACCAAGAAACAAGTGTTCTGAGTTCAAAGACTCTGTTATTTTCACTACATTGGACAGTCTCATCAGCATATCTGGGAACATGGGAAAATGAAATTTCTAAGCAAGGAAATGTGGAGAGAGGAATAAAAGGCCAAACATAGAGCTTTGAACTTACCTCTATCCTACAGAGCCTCAGAGGCTTCCAACATTGGATATATTCCATATTGTTCCTAAAAAGCTCAATGAAAGCTTCTGTGTTCTATGAAGATCAGTTACAGAAGCAGCTTGGGTTTCAAAACCAGATGCAACCGTGAAAGTTATCTTTATGGTATATGACGAAATAAAGAGGCCACTGAATTAATTAAATCTCCCATAGTTGCTCATTTGTTACTACTTGCATTACTTAATCAAGAATTATTTATATTGCAAATTATCTTTATTCTTTATTACTAATCTTACCTGACAAGAATTAAATTCCCACAGTATGGGATGGGCCTGAGCGTTAGGAACTGGGAAGTTGCTAGGCACTTCTGAGAGTTTAATGTCTGGAACTCCTTCACACAGCAAAATACTACCAACTATAGATTCCGCTCCTCAGCCAATTTAGAGGGCTTGGGCTCTGATTTTGTTCCTTCCTGACTTTACTGATAGTCCCCTCTGCTATATAGTTTAATGGGCTAATCAAATAAATTGTGAACTAAACGCATACTTTTAGATTTTCATGGAAAAGTCTCCCCAAAATTTTCCTAGGCCATTCTTCTAGGAATTCTCTTTAATTTGTTGCTCATTCTACTTTTGCTTTTGGTGGAACAGAGAAAATGAAACAACCCAAGAATCACTTTTCTTCCACTAGGTTTTTTCCTCACATTAACATCTGGAATGCTTCCCTAATATGTATATGTGTGTGTGTGTGTGTGTGTTTACATATATATAGTAATTATATACTCTAGTATATATATATATATATATTTTTTTTTTTTTTTTTTTTTTTTGCGATGGAGTGTTCGTGCTGTCTCCCAGGCTGGAGTGCAGTAGCGCGATTTCGGCTCCACTCCAAGCTCCGCCTCCCAGGGTTCACGCCATTCTCCTGTCTCAGCCTCCCAAGTAGCTGGGACTAGGCAGGGCGCTCGCCACCATGCCTGGCTAATTTTTTGTATTTTTAGTAGAGACGGGGTTTCGCCGTGTTAGCCAGGATGGTCTCCATCTCCTGACCTCGTGATCCGCCCACCTCGGCCTCCCAAAGTGCTAGGACTACAAGCGTGAGCCACCCCGCCCAGCCTATTCTGATAATATTTTAAATAAAGCTGTTTTACATTATCAAAACAACCAGTTGACTTAAGCTGAATACTTTGCCATTTTAGTGAAGGAAAAAAAAATGAAATTGGTTGCTGGGTTGAAAAAGATTTCCAAACCTGTGAGTGCAACCAAATGATTGCAATAATAAAGGCATTCAGTCATAGAAGTCATAGCTAGGCAGTAAGCAGAGGAATCCACAAAGAAGAGTTTCTTTTGAGTTTGGGTCAGTGCTCTCAACTGGATGAGTTTTTAAAAGTATGTACATTGAGTTACAAAGAAGGAAGCATAAGTGAGAAAAATCTGCATTAATTTCACTTACTGAAACAACAACAACAGGATATAAAATGGAAAGATTACTCTCTTCAAGCATGCTCAGTAACTTCTGGGTTTCTTGAAAATCAGAGGTCATAACCTAAAAGACGAGAAAAATAAAACAATACGAGAAGACTTTTTAAATGACTTAAAAGTTAATTCAAGAAATAAATGGAGAGATTCTGCATAACATTCAAAATATTTATCAAGCTTAGTTTTTAATTTAGAAACAATTTTAAAGGATATCTATAAAGTTATGCATGTCAAATTTTGATCTACTAATTGAGTCAAACCTGTCTCTTATTATCTACTTTGAACCAGGTACAAATAGAAAATTGAAAATATTGTCCAAAATACCACTCTTCTCATTATGGGAATTAGCTTGTTAAAAGTATTATTTCTCTTTCAAAGATAAAATCTCCAAAAACATGTGAAAGAACTCATCATAATCTCATATATAAATATTTAAGAATCAAATTAGTTCTCTTTCACATTACATTTGCTCATATCCTTAAGTGCTTTCAATCATTTGAATTGACTTACATTCACGCAAACAAAATTGTAGCATTGATCTAAGATGATTTGCTGAAGATGTCTGCCAGCATGACAGAGAGCCTCAGATGTGACTTTTACATGCTAGTAGGAAAAAACAGAAATGAATTCACAAATTAGACCAAACATAAACATCTTTGTTACAAAGGAACACATAATTGCTAGAAGAGAGGCACATAAAGTCAAGGACCATGTATTTTTTAAAAAACTTAATACATGCTGAAGTTCATCAGGCTATCAAGAAAAAGTCATTTGAACTATGCTATGAATAATGCATATTTTAGCAAACAACGATATAGAAAATTGTTTCACATAGGAAAAAAATGTAGACATACACAGAATATATTCTGGAACAGGCTAGTAGTCTGGTTTATCTTATACAAATAAATATTGAAGAGCATGTTGAAGGACTAAAAGAGAAAGGTTGCAGAGATGATTGCAGGCATCTGGAAGCACATTAAATAACACAGTTTTAATACAGGGAATAGACTTCACTAAACTGGAAATAACTAGAAATGGGAAAAGCAGTAAGAAATCATCACAACACTGTAAGTGAGAGAGAAATAAGACTTAAACTATACAAACTATTCCTAAAACTGTTGGGGAACTTACTTCTACTGCTATAAGTAGTCCCAGATTAGATTAGATTTAGAAAAGAACACACATATTATGCAAACTTTCCTAGTAAGATATTTTTATTCCATATAGCTTAATATTCCATATAGCTTAATATTCCATATAGCTTAATATGTTCCATATAGCTTAATATTCCATATAGCTTAATATATTCCATATAGCTTAATATTCTAATTAAGCTTAATATTCTAATTAAGATAATATTCTAATTAGCTTCTTTTAAGATTTTTCTATTATAACAATATGAACAAAAACTTAAGAATTACTAGACATGGGATCTGTGATATCTTTGCTATAATAATTCCACAGGAAATCACATTTCAGTGATTCTTACTGGTATTACATTTAGAATGTTTTACATTTCATAGTTCTAAAAATAATAAAATGCTGTTCCTTAGTAAAACATCAAACTCTGTAACTCTACATTATGTGTTTAGTAGCTTAATTTGCTATAATTTTGACAAAATACTGGAGAATGAGAAAAGAAAGTTTGCAAGGCCTTAGCTTTGCTCTAGAAATAAGTAGGCTATTAAATTTTAAAAATTTCAGTTCAGTTTAAAATTTGTATTGAGCTTAAAGCTCAAAGATTATTAAGAAAAAAGCCAAAAAGTCCATAGTCATCAACAATATATTAACACTACAATAAAAAAGAATCCAGTATCCATTCTGCAATAGTAAGTTTGATAAAGTGGTAACATCTAGATATTACAGGGAGACAATTTTTCAAAAGTCTCTCACGTATTCAAACATTTTCAAAGGCATTAACAGCTAACTTGTTCCATACTTTCTTTGCAAGTATGTTTGTACAAATTGCAGAAATAGAGATATTTCTTCCTAGAACAGATTTATTTTCCAGTAAAATAGGGACATCTCTCTCCCTGGATTAGGCTTACTTGGCATTCCAGAGTTATCTCTTGAGGAGCAGATGGGCTGATTTGCCTGTATAAGGCCAGGGCTTCCTACTATCAAGGTTCTTTTTAAAGAACCCTACTGCCTAGCAACAACTAACCCTAATTGCATCTCTCCATGGAAATTGCAATTCAGAAAAAACCAAGTGCTACATTTTTGTTCTGGCTACTGCTATGGTTGTAAGAAATGGTCTTTTCTCTGACCCTGTAGTCTCAGATCTTCCACCAGTATCTATGATACTGTGTCAGGTTGACTTATTTGCATGCAAGTAAGATATAGTTTCACATCCTGCCAAGTTTCTGACTTCACAGATATGAAATAAGGCAACCATATCACCAGATCTTAACTTCAGCAAAGATGCACAAGTGAATTCGGAATTCACACACACAAAAAAATCTTAAAGTTTCCTTCTGCATGCAGAGAATGAGAACATGAGGGAGATTCTGATTCAGTTTTTTTTGTTGTTGTTGTTAAAGTATTAAAATAAATTTCTTCAGGACAGAGTTTGGGATCTTTGAGGACAGAAACATTCATGTTTTTACCACTAGGAAATGCTTAATAATGTTAACAACAAACAAAACTTTGCCACCAGTTTTTTAAAGAAAAATATCTTGTGTCAAGAAAATAGTATATGTTTTTAGAACGAACAATGTGGAAAAGTTCTTTAAAAATAAAACTCATCAAAAAATACTACATAGAAATAATTACTCTGAAAGGTAAGTATCATTCCAACAATTCTCTATGAATAATATATGTAGTCACCAGGAAAGACAAATGAAGGACTAAAAGCATGAATGTTTTATTAAAATGGAATAATATGCATGTCATTTTAAATTATGTAATTTTAGTGAATGCAAACCAAATGTAGTAAAACCAAAAGTATTGCTAAACTTCAGATAATTCATTTCCAGGAAGTATAATTTCTAAAGGTTAAGAAGAGATGCTATGGGCAGGATAAAGACACTATACTCTTAATAACTCACTTCTTTTTATAAGTCAGTATTCACTGACTTCCTTCTGTGAGAGAAGGAGAGAGCACATTTTAAGTTCTACCCATAGCCTAGGTCTGGTCAATCATGTTGTTTTCAATCTAAAATGTTTATTAGATTCTTATTCTATTTTGTGGCCATAATTAACATTAGACATTATCTACCTTCAAGGAAAGTGACTTAAAATTTCCCCCAATTCTAAATTTTTCATTTAATTCACATCATTAGATGAATATGTGCAAGTAGTGGGTTGTTTTGGAGCAATTTTTTTTTTTTTTTTTAACAAAAGCGGTAAAAGTTTTAGGTTCCTTGAGTTATCTTAATGAAATAATTTTTGCCCCCATTACAAGGTCTGGGAGATCCACAGGAAGGGTTTAGAAGACATCAGCCTGATTATCATCTGCACTTACTTTCTTGACTGTTACTTTTAAAAACGTCTGCATTAAGTGGGCCCCTCATGTTTGTTTGATTACTGTTAATTTTGCTTGTTTTCTATTGTTTTTAAAGCAATGGAGAAGGAAGATTTTTGTGAATAATCTTTATCATATTCACCTGGCTGTCACTATTATTTTTAAGTACTTTAAGGAATTATTTCATTTTTATATGTACATCTTTAGACAAAAGGAAAGTATTCCCTAACTATTAAGAGTATTTTAAGTATTCCTAGAAGAGCTTCATTTTTCTCATTAAGAACATGCAATTTTATATATATATATTACATGTATATGTGTGTCATTCCCATTAGATTAAATCTAAAATAGTGACTTTGACATTAAAGCCCTTCATAGTCTACTTATATTCTACCTATTCAAATCCTAGCCACCCATTCCACTCTTCAACACAAATATTCTTAAACTCTGAAGAAATTTTTCTCTATTGTCACAAATACTGGGCTCATTCATACCTATGACAACTTCAGCCCATATTGACTTCAATATCTACTTCCTTCTTCAAAGTTGTTATGTATTTCTTAAACTAACAGTTAATAAGATGTACACTCTTAGAATATATAATGTAGGCCAAGCGCGGTGGCTCATGCCTGTCATCCCAGCACTTTGGGAGGCCAAGGTGGATGGCTCACCTGAGGTCAGGAGTTCAAGACCAGCCTGGCCAAGATGGTGAAACCCCATCTCTACTACAAATACAAATATTAGCCGGGTGTGGTGGTGGACGCCTGTAATCCCAGCTACTCGGGAGGCTGAGGCAGAGAATTGCTTGAACCGGGGAGGCAGAGGTTGCAGTGAGCTGAGTCACGGGACTGCACTCCAGCCTGGGCAACAGAGTGAAACTCCATCTCAAAAAAAAAAAAAAAAAAAGAATGTACAATATAGATATATGGAAAGCACAATGCCCAGCCACATAGTGTTCTTGTAATTGTAATTAAAATATATTTGTTCACTTACATGATACATTTAAAACTGCTAATTGCCCATAGACTAAGACAGAAATGCATACACAATATTTACATAAAAGTTATCAAATATTAGTATTTTTGTACTCTTGAAAAACCAAACTGTATTTTTTTCTTCTTGAAATTGAGACTCTTAATAATTGTTCCCAGTTCAGTGTAGTTCTTTTAGTCATACTGCTTTCCTCCCAACCAGAAAACAATCAACATTTTCCATGCTTCAGTAAAGAAACTTAGATTTTACCTAAATATAGCAAAGGTATCTGTGGCACTTTTAATCAACAAAGACCACATTAGACAATGCTATTAGGTTGTTTATAAAAAAAAAAAAAAAGTCCTATGGCATCATGATATGCTGTCATTCCTGATGTTTCCACACTCAAACACAACAAATGGAACAATCTGCTGGCTAGAACTTCTTCTGTAAATATTTTGGTTCAAAGGACATTTAAACAAAATTTAAAACAACCTTCCAATGTGTTCAGTAAATTAAAGTACAACAACAAAAAATCAAACTTTCCTTACATCATAACAAATAAGAGTTTAGGAAAGATTTACCATAAACTAAATGCAAACATCTGTGTATTCACAATATTAATACTATACAAAGCATGGATATTAGGAATAAAGATGGATTGTCAAAAAAGTTTTCATTTCAAAAAGCATTAAGGCCTAACTAAGGCTGAAAGGTTTTGGTTCAATTCCCATGAGTCAGAGGTTCAACCTCTATGTGTTTCTGAAAAGTCAATCATCTTTTTACAGAAAAAGTTGGCTGGGTCATCTCTGAGTCTGAATCTGCCAACTTCTAGCCTTTCTACCGTTCAAACAATGGCACTAATATAGGTATAAACAAGTGACTTGTAGAGACATGTATTTTCTTTCCACTCTGTGAACATGACAACAATTAACATCCCTTTTTGTCTATCTAGCATTCAGCATTTACTATTTTTCTTAGAATAAGCTTTTAAGTTTTTCTTTTTGTATGTGTGTATACGTGTGTAGTAAAGAGCATGGACTCTGGTACCAAGATCACTGGGTTTAAATCTATCTCTGGAACATTGTTGCTGTGTGACTTTGGGTAAGCTACATAAGCCCTGTGGCTCGGTTTACTCCTCAGTAAAATGAGTACATCATAGAATTGA